ATGCCTCTTTCTTTATTTCTTTCTCTTCTATCAGTATTCTGTAATCTACATAAACATTATTAACCCATGTCTAATATGTGTGTGTGTGTAGGTGGGGCCCCAGGGGATGGTGAGTGTGTGTTTGAGGGTGATTACGCCGTGCCTCCTCTCCCGGTGACTGAGGGAATGCAGCACATCCGCATCATGGAGGGAGTGTCTCGCTCTCTGCCCTCCTCACCACTTCTGTCTCACCAGGCGCTCAGCATGAGACTACAGCCACTCAAGAGACTCCCAGGTAACACAAACACACACACACACACACACACACACACACACACACACACACACACACACACACACACATACAGTACAGAAAAAGACGTGTGTGCATGGGAGCTATAATGAATGTTACCCTCCTGTACTTATTTTGTAATATTATTTAATTAATACTTTTATTTGAATATTTGAAGGCCGAAAACTTTACATTTGAATGTTTAAGATGTTTTACTCTTACATGCCTAATGACAGTCCTAAACGTTTTGGATGCATAGGGCATAACATAATGCATGCTATGCCCCATGTAGTGAGCATAATCCATATAGTGCATAGGATGTTGCTTGGAACTTAGATATAGTTATATCTAAAGTTTGAAAAATTGAGATTCTTTTTTTGTTTGTTTGTTTAAATCTCTTTTACATTACTGGGGCTTTATCCCGAGAGCTGCACTTCTCAAAGTGGCCACAAGGAGGCTCTCACTCACAGCACTGCCCTCTTTACTCTCTACTGTATCCCTCTTCCTCTACATTCTTTCAGTTTTTGTTTTTCTCATTCACTATCCCTAGCCTTCTTTCTATCTTTCTTCTGAAAAATTAAGGCTGGGTATCTGATGATACTTTTACGACCTCACCTCAGACATGGAGATTCACCTGCAAAACAGTGATGCACCTGATAATTGTGGATAGCAACAGTTGCTAAGCAGCGATTAGTGGGCACAGAAAATAAGGCGGGGCTTGAGTTTGGTCAATGGCAGCAAGAGCTGCTTCAACTGCTCTGAGATTTTCTTTCTTTCTTTCTTTCTTTCTTTCCACAGTTGTTAATTAGTGACTGGAGGGGCGGGGCTTGTGATTGGTCAGTTGTTTCGAGAGCTTCTTTGAGGTTGCTTCAAACCTTCAGAACTTTCTAGCATCATGACAGGTGTTGAGTGTCGAGTCTAACTTCTGACACACACACACACACACACAGCCGATTGTGTGTGTGTGTGAGAGATTTTATTATGTTTTCTCAGAAATGGTTTTAACACCTCCACGAGTCAGAGACGTCGCACTGTTTTCTGAAGTGTGAGTGAGTTACAGGGTGGTAAAACTCACAGATGTATTAGTCATGAGCTCTTAACATGCAGCGCAAAACCCAGCACTTTTTCTGGAAAGTGTTGCAGCATAGTGAAGAGTGAGAGGAGGAGGAGGAGGAGGAGGAAGAGGAGTCTTGTGTCAGATAGAATGGATTCAGCTTCAGCTCTGAATCCTACAATTTGTCCAATAATAATATCAGCTCAGTGACGATCTCGTTGCAGTCAATGTGGGGCAGTGGGGTGCCAATACATTTGCACCAGATGGAATACAGTCAGTAATTGTAGGTGTAACTGATGAAGACAGCTAAATGTTGTCATGGCAACCATACCATCTGACATGCAGAGCTCATGTACAGCATATTTCTCTTTCTCTCTCTCTCTTTCTTATTTTTTATACGAGTTAATTGTAAATATGGAACGTGATGTATATATGTACCTTTTCTTTCTTCCTTTCTTTTTTTTATCTCTCTCTTACCTTTCTTTATTTTCTTTCTTTCTTTCTTTCTTTCAATCTTTCTTCTCTCTCTCTTTCAATCTTTCTTCTCTGTCTCTTTCAATCTTTTTCCTATTACTATCTTTTTCTGTCTCTTACTTTTTCCTTTCTTTCTTTCTTTCTTTCTTTCTTTCTTTCTATTTCTATCTTTTTCTGTCTTGTACTTTTTCCTCTATCTTGATTTTTTCATTCTTTCATCTTTACATTCTCTCTCTCTCACTCTCTCATACACTCTCTATCTTACTTTCTTGCTGTGACACATTTTTGTTCACACTCGTTTTTCATCTCTTGCTCTGTCGCTCCTGCCCTCTCGCCCTCGCTTTCCTCCTGGCTGTAAATAGCCTGTGGGACTTCAGGCAGCTGGGAGATGGAGAGGTGGGACGTAATTGGAGGCACGATTCCGCCTCACTTCCTGCCCCAGGTGGCACAGCGACTGCCACCTGATCTCTCTCTCTCTCTCTCTCTCTCTCTCTCTCTCTCTCTCTCTCTCCCACTCACGAGCACAAGTTGTTTTCTCGCGTACATCCTCGAGCTGAATGTTGGTGTGAGTGTGTGTGAGTGTGTGTGGATGTATCAGGACCGCAGCAGGACAGATCCTGAGTGGGGATTTGGCTGAAACGGTGAGACTTGCTGTGTATTCTTTTTTTTCTGTCTTTTCCTTCATTTCTTTTCTGGATGTGATCTTACGGATTAGGGGTCAGGTGCTCTGAGTCGGCTCTGACGAGGGAGGCTGTTCACGGTAGCGTGATGTCATATCCTGGATTTGTATTATTCCAAATTTCACATGAAGCTTTTCAGTTATGGATGTAAGTAAAGCACATCTTCTGTTCATGGTCACCTGTTTGGAGTGCGTTTTATCCTGGAGTGTTTGTGAGTTTCACACTGAAGCGTGTGATGTAACGGTTTAAACGTGGGTGGCGTCGGTTGAGCGGCGTTCCCGATGGAAACCCTGTGAGGTAGGAGGTGCGGTTATATAATGACATGTCATAAACTGGCTATAGATTCTTCATTTAGTCGTATTCAATTCCTGTCTGCTAGTGCCTTCCCTTGTGTTGCTCAGGGATAACAAGTGCTTCCTTAAGCGCATCATCATACTGTACATGTGAGATAACGGATACCTGTGGTCAGCTAGCGAAGAATAGAGACGGATACCATTTCTCCCATCCAGCAACACGGAAGCCTGTGACGACTCATGATCTCCAAATAGGACAAAACTTTACGGCTGTGGCACACCGACACGACCGTGGCTGTAGTAGTATGTGATTTTACATGTAGTACTTTGTCTTTTTTTGTTTTTGTTGGGTTTTTTTTGTACTTCTGGACTTGTCGAGTTAAGCGCAGACGCCTGTGCATGTTTAATAGGATATTAGGAAACATACAACGTAACAACATTCAGGTTCTGGTTTACTGTAAATTGTTTGCATGTGAATTATTTGTGTGTGATATATGTCATCATATAAAGTATGTGCGATGTGTCTGGTGGTATGGGAAAACCCATCAAATGTTGCTGTGGCAAAATTTTAGCAAACAGCTAAAAATGATAAACAACGAAGTCGGGTTTTGACCAAAATGGTGTTTTTCTAACTATAACACAGTTTCACATCTCAACTTTAAGGATAAATATATTTCACTAAAATGATTTGGAAATGTTTTTATTTAGGTTACTTTCCTAAATAACCTTCTCTTGACGTCAAAAGATAACGTTGTATAAGGAGCCGGTTTAACAAACGCATCTAGCGCACCCAGGAAAAGTGTTTGCTCTGTTATTGGGAGATCGAAGTGTCAAATCCTGTAGATGCAACAGGTGGGAGGGATGACGTTACTCTCTCTCCCCTGTCAATCACAGCGATACTAGCCAATCGTAGGCATCTGTAAGGTCATGTATGCGGAAGAGGGCAGATAGGTCTTTCCTCCGAGTGTGTTACGCTGCCCTGTGGAACAGTATAAGCAGCGGTTTGAAAAGATGTGGTTGGCTGGCTTCACAAGGAAACACGTGTTCGCCTTCACACTCCTTGGTTTATAGCTGTATGATAGAGGAGAACTGACTGGTGGGCGGGAATTGGCAGGTGACCAAATTGGGAGAAAGTATGGGGGAAAAACAGTGTTAAATGCAGGCTAAAGCTGTCTAAAACCACACTAGCTAAGTGTGACTTCCCCACACAGTGAAGATCACACTTTGGTCAAGTTGTTGGACAGCTACATGTCATAGCGAGACTGACAGTTCAGGTTGTAATCAGATACTGGCTGTTAAAAATGAAAGAAATCTTTGCTACAAATGCTGCAGCTTTATTCTGTTTGAGAAACATGCAAAAGAGAAACACATTTCAGAGCTATGTCATCATGTGAAGGGTTTTCCCAGGCCACCACACATATATCATTCCCTTTCATTACAAGCCTTGAGAATATTTTGACAAAATCTTTGTTTCAGTATTTTGCCTACTCTTACTTATAAAAAAATTATAACGATGCACATAGTCACACTATTTATATTTTTACTAAACTCTGATGGAAATTGGAAACCTTCTGTTTTTCTGTTTTGTTTCTCTGTGGTTGATTACTGAAAAAAAAAAGAAAAAAAAAAAGTGCCCTTTAAAAATGTCCACATGGAAACCGTAAATGCTTCTGGGCTTTGGCTGAGGGATGTTCTGAAGGAGTTGATTTTTTTTTTTTTTTTGCCAAAATAACATGCCCCGAATTCTTTTTACATTTATACTCCAAGCTCTGCGCTTTGACCATTCGACTTTGATGGATATAAATACAGCCAGCAGCTCGCATTCCTGCATGTATGCTGTGTTTGGTAAAAACGCAGGGTTTCTAAACTACACGTTACTGTAGAAAACTGCAGCTCAGCTATATTACAGCTCTCCATGTACATGTGTGATTGACGTCACTTCATCTACTGATTAAATACTAATCACAAGATGCTTCCTGACCAGCAGTTTGCTCCCCTGTTGGCTCCGCAGGTACGTTTTGGGATTGCTTTAGCTGCGTTAGTTACAGGAAGCCAGTAGAAGTGAAGTGACATCAGATTTTATCAATTTCTCATGAATCATTTGACACTATTCTCGTCATCATATTTTCATTTCTTTAGTTTGTAGTTAGTTTTGCCAAAGTGCTAAAGTATGGAGTCTGCCCTGAGGACCTTGGTCTGGATCTTGGTCTTTATTCGTGTTCAACAGTGGCAGTTCAGCGGTTAAGACGTTGGACTACTACTTGGAAGGTCGTGAGTTCAAGTCCCAGTACTGCCAATGCTGGGCCCTTGAGCAAGGCCCTTAATCCTCAACTGCTCAGTTGTATAAATGTCACTTGCTCTGGATAAGGGTGTCTGCCAAATGTAATGTAAAATGTTTTGAAACTGTGATTGATCTCTTTCTGTGTTTTATGGCGCTTTCACACCTATTAGCCCGTTTGTGGGGTCTGAATCACAGTGAGATTGATTCTTTTGATTCGTTTGCTGTTTGGTTTGGTTTCGTTTCATGTTGCATATAATTAAACAAGCCAAAAAGCGAAAAGGGGCATGTAGGGCTGAAAACGTTCTCTCTGGTCAGAAATAAGGTGACAGAAAAATAAACGTAGAAATCACAAGAGTGTAGAAATCACAAGCTAATGCTAAATAAATCATTAGATAATTAAATATAAATAACTAGTTTAAAAGTTCATGGGTCCAAATCTCTGGAACACGTGGCATTTCTGCAACGCGACGGTTCTGTCCTTTGGCTCGGTTTACAAATCAAATGCTGCAGTTTAATACACATGAAGGTATGATTGATTCACTTCCTGTAGAGAGTCAATTCAGAGACAAATCGCTTTCTCATTAGAGTTCACTTAGTAGCGGATCGAGACCACCTCGCTCAGACGCTCTCCGACCCGAGTGTGACTGCTGTGTTCTCGCTTGACTAAAGAACCGCACTGAGGCAGAGAACACACCAGGGTTCTGTTCAAATGGACTAGTTCTCACTCTGAGCATTTGAGTCTTGTACTTCAGACTCTCGGTCTCTGTCTGATCTCAGTCTCAATCAGCGCCTCAGTTTCAGAGTTACTCTGATTATTATTCTCTTATTTTTACATTTTGAAATGGACGCAAGATAGAGACTGACATTTTTCTGGATCTTACGCTCCGTCTGGATCTCAGTCTGGATTTCTTTTTTAGTCTCCGATCTAGAACTTTACCCTGTTTACTATGCTATAATGGGCTACTTATTGGGTTTTATAGTCCAAAAGCAAAGAGGAGAAAATCCAGTGTGTGTATGAATTCCCATTGCAATAGCTTAGTGGTTACAGGTGCAGATCACCCATAATGCACTTTGATATTTCTGGAGCAGAGAGTATAAGACACCATTTCAGACACAAGGCTAGTCTGTTCTGTTTATTCCTACACCTGTGCAATTTATAACTATCTTAGCACCTGGATGAACTCTTGAACCTCGGCATGTACACATTTCCTCGCATATTTTGGACATGAGTTAACAAGATGTGTCCATTTTTGTCCTGAGGACGTTCAGTCAAGATGTTTTTTCGGTGATGAGGTTCATTAGCATGGTTGTTAATATCTCCTGGTATATCTGTAATAGAGAGAAAGAAAAGACTGAAATAACTTTCCTGGTCCATTTTTCTCACCTAGCACCACCTCCACTTGCCGGCCACTTGGGGATTATTTTCTTTCTGTGATTTTCACAGGATATTAAGACACAGCTTTTTGGCTCCATCCCAAACCGTTTGAGCGCTGCTGCCTTTTTTGCTGCGCAGTCAGCATGAAGCAGAAGGAAGCATTCTGTTTTTTCCGGCCATGGTTATGCACCTCTGTCCTGCTCTGATTCCTTATATTTTTTTTTCAGTTTCACTCGTTTTTCTCCTCCCTTTCTTGCCTGGTTTCCTCTTCAGACCCTGGACACTGTTGTTAAGCGCTGACTTTCTTTATTCTTCATGTTGTTTTCATTGCACATGGGGCTTTTTTGTCTTTCCCTATAATCCAGGCGGAGACGGCGTTTGACCACAGGCTGAATTACGAACCCTTGTTTTTTTTTTTGCTAACCTCAAACACTCTGACTTTGTAAAATTCTATGTCATTTGTTTTAAACTAAGTGCTTCTTGGTTTAGCAATAGAAGTGTAAACACTACCCAACTAGGGCTTATTTTTTATTGAGAAATTTAGAAAGCTAGTTGACATCCATGTGCAGTCACCTTAGGAGGTCTCTAGTGAAAGTCTTGGTGAAACTCGATCTGTGATGACCAAAAATTTTCTCTGTTTCTGCTGCATCTCTCTCTCTGGACAGGATGGGTCAGTGAGAGTCGACCCTGACCTCTTTAGATCGACTGGCAACGTAAAACGACCCCCCTGCTAGGCCTGACACGCTTCCCTTAAACATTACCATCTGTGGTTCTCCCTCTACCCCCTCTCCTTCTCTCTCTCTCTCTCTCTCTCTCTCTTCCTTTCTCTGTGATTCTTCTCCACTGTACCTCTGCTTTCTGTCTTGTCCTGTGCTCATGGAAAGCACTCTATTTTTTTGGAAAACTTTCACATGGAACTTATTTCCCTGAAACGGACTTCACACTATGCCAGGATTCTTGACCTGGACATGCACTCTTTCGGTAAGTCTGACCCCCTCACACTCCGTCCAAGGCACTTTAAGTTCTCTCTTGGCCTAATCGCTCTGTAGGCGTGTTTGCCTTCTTCCAGCTTTTTTTTCCAGAGAGTTCAGAATTTGTGGTTTTCTCGCAGCTCGCTCTCTCTCTTTCTCGCTCTACCCTTTGTGGGCTCTGGAGTCCAGGGCCTGCAGACTGCCCGCGATTCTTGTTGAAGTCTGAGCCAGCGGTTTTCTCTCTGGGGCCAGCTCACTCTCAAAAGTGCCTCCTCCTCCCAGAAGGCCAAAGGGAGCAGAGCGTGGACGAGCCAGCTCATTCTCCTCTGTGCTTTCTCCGGCTCTGCGCTGGAAGAGGAGGAGGAGACGGAGTATTGGGGCGATGGACGTGAGGAAGGTGTGCACTCGGAGCGCATGGCTGAGGAGGAAGAGGCCTCGGCCATACGAGCGGACCAGGTTCTCCTCCTCCTCCTCTTCCCTGCTGCGGCGCTGGATGTCTCGGCTATGCTGCGCGTCTCGGGCCTGTTCCTCCAGCCTCAGCGCTTCGGATCAGTCACTCCTGCAGCCAAGCTGCTGCACCAGGCCGAGAGGAGCTCAAGGAATGGTGGGAGACGCTGGAGACAGCGGGACAAAGGAGTACCAGCAGGAAGAGTGGGAGCAAGCAGGAGAGGACCAGGATGAGGAAGTGGCAGAGGAAGACAACGACGACAACGATGGTGACCGTGATGACGATAACAATAACGATGATGCCAACGATTATGAAAATGAGGAGGAAGATGAAGAAGTGGATGTGGATGTGGATGAGTGTGAACCAAAAGATGCAGAAGAAAGAGGTGAGGACATTAAGGAGTTTAATCAAAATGTCAATACATATTAAAGACATATTAAGAAATTTTGCAGTGGTGCAGAGATGTGATGTCAATGGAGTTCAGGGTGTTTCTGATACTAGCTAGTAGAGCGGATAATTTCAGCCCTGTTTTGCTCATCTATCTGCTGTTCACAGAAGTGAATCTTCCTGATTATTGCCGTATGACACGACACGAAGTGACACGGCCTCCCGAGGGAGCCACCGTCAGCCAGAGTGATGGGCACACTCTACAGATGTGGCTTCTCTAAAATCCTTCTTAATTAAGAAGATTTGCAGTGGTAATGGTTCCAACGGTGACAGGAAGAGGGACAGAGTGTATAGTCTCTGATTGGTACCAGGCGTTGTGGCCTTGAAAGAGTCTTGGCTTCATTTCCCTTCCTCTGCATAAGTGTAACTTTGGTTAAAGTGACATTTTCAGACCTGCTCCTCTTAAGTTTTTTAATAAACCAAACTCATCTGGATGTGTTTAGATCTGCTTTAGTCAGGCCGTGAGTCAGGCAGAGGGTAGCCGTTCAAATGGCAAGCTGACGGATAATAAACCCAAATAAACAGCTACCCGAACGTGTGGCCAGTTAGTTAGAAAAGATCTGATTATGCTTTTGCACTTGGACAATTCATTATGGCAGGTTTCAATTTGTGCCGCCGTCTGAAATCTTGGAAAGTCCCTTCAACGGCGAGTCTGAAGGAAGCTCGAATGCACGGCATTATATGGTTTTAAAAAGAACCCAATAACAAAGCCACATTTTCTGTCTGTCTCTCCGTCTCTCTCTAATTCCCGTTCAAAGAGCCAAGATGTTGTTTGGCGTGTTTGTCAGAGCTTTATTGTTGCTCTTTTCTCCTCTCAGTGCCCTCTCTTTTTTTCTAAACCACCGGTTAGTTGCTCCATCTTGCAGCTTTTTTTCTTTTGGTGACAGGCACCCTCTCATCATGCTCCTGTCCTCACCATGCTAACTCAAACCAGCTCCTAAACTTTATTTTTGGGTTTGTACTGAGGTCTTTTTTTTAATCTTTCTTTCTTTATTTCTCACTCCTTTGTTTTTTTCTTCCCCCTCCCTTCTCCCACTTACCCACTCCATCAACACCAGTCTTAGCTAACCTCTGATCATCCGCAGCTGTTTACATACAGCTCATGGTGCAGATGAACTGTCCCGACCTCCAACATCGACATCCACTGACCTACAAACAGGAAATTGTATCATAATCCGTTCATTAGGGGTGTAAAGAAAAAAAGGATTCAATTCGGATCAGGAAATTGGTCCAAGAGACTACGATGCGGCCGCAACGACTTACTAGCTAAGATCTGGTTCCAGTTAGACTCTCCGATCCTTAGGACTTTTCGACTATATTACATCATCAGAGTGGATTCTCCAGAACAGGGATTAGTGTGTCCGAGGCTTAGCATGCACTAATTCGCAGTTGTGGTATAGATTTGAACATGTGCAAAGGTTAAAAGTAATGATTAAATCCTCGTGCCGATCCCAAGCTCAGGTTACTGTCTGTGCGAAATTCTGTACATTTTCCCCATTTCCATGTGGGTTTCCTAAAGGTTTTCCAGGTTCCTCCCAAAACATTCCAGTAGGCAGACTGGCTATGTTAAATTGTTCCTCTTGTAACTAACGAAATGAAGAAAGATATCAACCTGGAAATAATTGCTGATCAATTTTCCTGAAAACGAAATGACGGAAATGGAATGCATAGGTGTTGGGTGAGGATGGGTGACTGATAGATTTAAACTTTTTCTATTTTTTTGATTTGCAATTTGTATTTGAAATCATCTTTAGGAGTGAAGTAAACTAGAATT